AAAAAAAAAAAAAAGAAAGCCAAAGCTGGAGGCATCACAATCCCAGACTTTAGCCCCTACTACAAAGCCGTACTCATCAAGACAGTATGGTACTGGCACAAGAACAGACACATAGACCAATGGAATAGGATAGAGAACCTGGAATTGGACCCACAAATGTGTGGCCAACCAATCTTTGACAAAGCAGGAAAGCGCATCCAGCGGCATAAAGACAGTCTCTTCAGCAAGTGGTGCTGGGAAAACTGGACGGCGACATACATAATAACGAGCCTGGACCACTTTCTTACAGCAGACACAAAATAAACTCAAAATGGGTGAAAGACCTAAATGTAAGACAGGAAGCCATCAGAACCCCAGAGGAGAAAACAGGCAACAACTTCTTTGACCTCAGCTGCCGCAATTTCTTGCTTGACACATCTCCAAAGGCAAGGGAAATAAAAGCAAAAACGAACTGTTGGGACCTCATCAAGATAAAAAGCTTCCGCACTGCAAAGGAAGCAATCAACAAAACTAAAAGGCAACCAACGGAATGGGAGAAGATATTTGCAAACGACATATCGGATAAAGGGTTAGTATCCAAAACCTGTAAAGAACTTACCAAACTCAACACCCAAAAACCAAACAATCCAGGGAAGAAATGGGCAAAAGACATGAATAGACACTTTTCCAAAGAAGACATCCAGATGGCCGACAGACATGTGAAAAGATGCTCAACGTCACTCCTCATCAGAGAAATACAAATCAAAACCACACTGAGATACCACCTCACGCTGGTCATAGTGGCTGAACTGAACAAATCAGGAGACTCTGGATGCTGGAGAGGATGCGGAGAAACGGGAACCCTCTTGCACTGTTGGTGGGAATGCAAACTGGTGCAGCTGCTCTGGAAAGCAGTGTGGAGGTTCCTCAAGAGAAATTAAAATTAGATCTACCCTATGACCCGGCAATAGCACTGCTAGGACTTTACCCAAGGGATACAGGAGGGCTGATGCTGCACGGGGCACTTGTACCCTGTTTATGCCAGCACTTTCAACAGCCAAATTATGAAAGAGCCTAAATCTCCATCAAGTGATGAATGGATAAAAGAAATCGTGGTTTATATACACAATGGAATACTATAACATGGCAACGAAAAGAATGAAATCTGGCCATTTGCAGCAACGTGGATGAACTGGAGGGTATTATGCTAAGTGGAATAAGTCAGGCAGAGAAAACGATATATGTTTTCACTAATACGTGGAACTTGAGAAAACTTAAAGCACCATCTTGAGAAGGAAAAACAGTTTCAAACAGAGAGGCAAACCATTAGAGACTTCAAATACAGAAACAAACTGAGGTTGATGGGAGGGCCGGGGAGGAAAATGGGACATGGGCAAACAATGAATCATGAGATCTACCCCAAAGCCAAACACAACTGTCCACACTGTATTAGCTAGCACCGACAATAATTTAAACACACACACGCCAAATATATTATCTTACAGTTCCATGGTGAAATGTTCGACAATAATAAGCCACGGGCCTCATGGGCTCTCGCTTTCCACCATCTTCAAGGACTAGGTCGGGAAAATCCAGAATCATCTCCCCATCTCAGAAGCTGAATCTTCACCATATCTGCCATATATTCTGTGTCTTCCCATAAACTAACTTATTCACAATCGGGAATTAGAATGTGGACATCTTATAGGCCATTCTATAGCCTAGCATATACCTTCCCATCAGGAAGGATCTTTTCTTTGGAAAAGACTAAC